AGGCTTGGTATATTCTACAAAGCCTTAGTGATCAACTTTGCTGTTCCTTCCCCACAAGCACAGGGCAATCTTTCGTCTGTGTCCTGGAAGTGCCTCTGTCCCTCGAGGCAACTTCTGTTGCCAGGTGCAGCTGCAGCCAAGACAAGGACAGACCTAGGCATAGCATGAAACCTGCCTGAGAAAGAAGTGCAACTTCCTCAGCCTCTGAGAATTGGGATAAAGCATAAACACGACGAGCGAATCCACAGCTGGGGCCTGAAAGGCACAGGCAACACGGCTGCGTGCGAAGAAGCTGTTCTGGGCTGCTTCCCGGACCTACCGCTACCGCGCCAGCCTGGATGGTACACGTCACCCCTTGCAAGCAGCAATGAATACCTTCCTGGCCCTCAGAGACCCTAGTCTAACCAAACCCAGAGCTGCCAAGACGAAACGCAGTAATGACAGGAGAGCTCAGGCAGACACCTGTACTAGCTTGGGAAAACAGAAAAAAAAGATAAAAGTTGTTCAAGAGACTCAAATGCTGTTCCCCCTCTACAAACAGCAGTATGGAAGCAGCAGAAGAATTGCCTTTTGAAGAGATTGCTTTATAATGCTTTCTCTTTTGCCTATGACTGCCAATGTATGTTATTAAAATAAATCAATCTAGAAAGTGTCCCAAACGTACATTTTTGGCAGGACTAGCAAACAGAGTTTCTAGCAACAAATCAATGCATTGCAAACAGAAAAAGAAACAGATACCCAAGCATTCAAATGAAATACATAAACAATTTGAAATAATCTTTGCAAACAATCCAGTCACGGTCATTCACGCTAAATGCCTTTTACGAACAGTTTAAACTAAACGTGGAAACATTAAGAACGAAGCGTCTGGGCTTTGTTCAGTCCGCGTCCAAAACACATTTTCTGGGCTGCTGGCACCCGTCCCCCGCCTCGCCGTCACCCAGGGACATCAGCTAGCAGCCAGCATCTCCGTGACCTGCAGTGCTTAGCAATATTTACTGCATCATCCCTACACTTATTGCCCTGTGCCTGACACCCCGCTCCCGCTCTGCCACAGGCTTTGAAAAGTGACCCAATATATTCACCACGTTGGGAGCTGCTGAACTGTCACGAAGCAAATCTTGTCCACTTCATATATTTATACATCTATTGATGGGGAAATGTAAGGAAGTTGTCACTTATCTTTCCTGTCTGAGAACCACTTAAGCCAACACCATCCATCTGGCCGTCTACAGTGGCCTTGGTAGGGCTACCCTCACACCCCCTCCGTACCTGCTGAAAAGCTGACCTTGATCAGGACGGGGGAAAAAAACTCTTCTCCGGCCTGCTGAGTGGAGGGAAAGCCAGCTGGAGCAAAGCAGGAGGCTAAAAGGTGCACAAGGAGGAGCATCAAGATGCTCTGCACCTCCCGAGACAGCAACTGCTTCAAATCCTTTTGATGCTCAACCCCAGAGCACAGTCGCTGTCGCACTGCACGGGCAATTCTCTCCGTACGACCTGGACCCCGGCAGGGCACTGGGCACAGCACAGCATCCCGTCCCCTTCACTCGGGCATCCATCACGGAGAGTTACAAGTACATATGTGGGCCTGAGATCCAGGCAGATGCACTCAGCACATTTATTCTGTTTTTCTAGGTATGGTTTTAAATGCTTTAGAAGGTCCCGGTTTTATTGCTGTTCAACATTTTATTTCTGTGCAAACCACGACAGACTCTGTCATGACAAAAATCTGGTTTCCCCTCCCACCCACCCCTGCCAAAATCTCCAGATTCATACGTGTTGATGATTTATTTAACATCCATGGACAGGCGCACACAGCTCAGTCACAGTCACAGCTTGTAACGCGCAGCGGCCCACTGGAGCACGCTGTCACAATGTGTTCTGAGGCTTCCCTTCGCCTCGATGTCTACTTGTGCATTTTTCTCGTGTCCAGTCGCTTGGCACTTCCTCCGCTTCCCCCTTTGCTTTACAGTTGCGCAAAGCAAAACACCAACAGTAGGAATTAGCGAGCTCTCCGAGATCAGCCTAGTCATGAATGTCCTTCCAGTCCACAAAATGCAGATCCAGTCACCCCACTCTTTGTCAGACAAGTTAAATCTTTCTATCCCGCTGTTCAGGTTACAGCTGTATGGCCAGGAAAGCAAAGGATAAAGCTGGGTCTCTGAGAATGACAACTGGCATTGCATCCCCACAACTGTGAGTGTGCCAGCCCAGGAAAAATGGCCATCCTGCAGCTTTCTGATAAGTCCCATTTCCCCTAACGATGCAAGCATCATTTATCTGCTTTTGCTACCCTATATTAATGATGAGTGAGCTATCTATGGCGATCTGCCAAGACTTGCATTGCCATGGAAGAGAACCTCTTTACGTCCGTGCACTCAGGAGTAAGGAGAGAGACAGATCAGGGAAATGGATCCCTGGCACAAAGGTGCAAAGGGTTGGAAGGGACCTTCTGGCTCAGGGAACCCGATCCCTCAAAGACTAACACATAACATACGCCTGCTCGCACAGGGATCCAACTCCATCTTTGAAGTCATTAGGTTTCTCTGTCCTCATTACTCTTATTTGGAGACTGTTCCAGGAACTTCACTGCTGTGCTAATTAGAAAGCATCTATTCCCAGACTACACATATTTATGGCCAGTTTATAACCCATTCAATTCTTGTGCCAAAGTTGTATTTAAATGGCTTGTACATAAACTCTACATTTAGCCTCCAGCGCATTTGCACGCAAAAGTCATACCCCTTCTCAGCCTTGTCTGGCTAAGCTAAGCATTCTTCTTCTGACTTGCCTTCTAACCCGTCTTGGCTCTCATTCACATTAAGAAAGATGAATTCCAAGTTGTGTGACCAGATTGGTACTCCGGGATTGTCCTGAGCGTGGCATTAACACACCCTGGTCTGTCCTGGAAAAACCTTTGCTGAGATAGGTTATGATCATGTTCACTTTTTCACAGCCACACCAGACCGGTGGCTTATGGTCACCTCTGATCAACAAGCACATCCAGTTGCTTCTCCTCCTCACTGGTTCCCCACGGAGGAGCTCCCAACTTAGAGCAGTAATTGTTTAGTCCCTAAATGTATCACCCTGCACAGGGCACTAGCACATTTCTTTCCATTTCTATTTCTCCACTCCTCAATATCACTCCAGTTCTCCTCGTCTCGCAGTCTTCTGCTGTGTTCATCCTTTCCCACTGCACACTAAGTTGCTAAATCCCTCTTTCTGCACATTGCCCAGAGACGACTCCCGGCAGTAAAACACACTACATTGCTCCAGGCACCTGAATGACAATCACCCCTCTGCAGACTTTCCTGCACCAAACTGACTGCCCACTGACCCATAACAGCCTGGATCATGAGCTTCCAGAGCACGACTGCCAGACCTATCTCCAATTTCAAGTCAGCTCCCCACAATGAGCGTGGCGCACAGCTCTAGGAATGTGGCTTTTTGCCCCTTCTTCAAAAGTTCTGCCCAGGTTTGCCTTGTGAGGCTACCCCACTCCCCAGCGCTCACTTCATGGTCCCACAAGTACCCATGTGCAAATGGCCGATGAATTCCTGCAGCACCCAGCAACTTTCCTTCACTGTCCGCATCATCCAGTCATCTTTAGTTCTCATTTTCACTGCAGCACAACCAGCTGCTTGTGGAAGTCGCTGAAGTCCCCAGAAATAGAGAAGCAGACACCTGTCTCTAAAAGAGATGCAAAAACTCCGCCGATCTGCACAGCGTCTGCGCTTGTGGCGAGGAAAAGTGGATTATAGGATGCTGATGAAGGAGCATGGGTATTTTAAAAAAAAAAAATCAATGCATGATTTTGTGGGATACGCCTACTTTTAGGAGAAATGTTGTATCGGGTCAAGTTCCCACAAAAATCTTCCGCAGACAGCAGGCTGCACGGTGGTACGAGAATGCCGGAATACTGTTCTGCCCTCGGCCCCTTGTCCTGGGGAACGTGCTGCCCCACCGGCACCGTCAGAAGCCAGCACAGGGTACCGGAAAACGTTCCCACGTGGACGCAACTGAACTGTGAGAGAAGCGGCCTGAAAGACTCGCTACACAGGAAAGCTTCATACTGTATTAACACCTTGTTTTCAGCCATCTCAGCTCAGGAGGGAAAGGAAGGGAACAGAAGGGAGGAGCAGAACTAAAAGACTAGTTGACAGAGTAGGTAGATAGATTATCACTCCTAACCCACAATTTGTCAATCCCGAGCAGTGCTGAAGACCATAATTTTCTAGTCAACACTATATAAACAAGGTCAGAAGGAACAAGTGCTTCCATAAAAATTCTGAGGCATCAGCGAAAGAACCAGCGCAGCCCACTCACTGTCTTCACAGCCCAGGAAGCAAAAAGGGGCTGCTCACACAGTTAACGGCCCTGGATTGATGCCCTTCACATCCATCAGGAACAGCACGTTTAGCTCCTAAATTAAAAGGGCACCCGGACTAACAAGACAAGCAGGATCTCTCAGGAGGTAAAGTGCACAGGATGAACGCACAAGACACCTCAGCGCTATAGTGCCCAAAATAAAATTCAGTTCTGCTACCACACCAAGTGCAATACTGCCTGGTTGCTTGGAGCTGCGCAGCAAATGCCACGCTGTGAGCTGCAGCCAGGGAACACATAATTAATGTGATTAGGAGCACACAGAGCTAGCATGCTCTGCTGACTGAAAAGCCCAGTAGCATAATTACTGTTTTCTGTACTAGCTCACTGTCTGTACAAATCTCAAAGCCTGGTTAGTTTTAGACTGCTGTGTAAACGTCAATAAAAATCCCAGAAGTGCCAAATCATCAGCATTCTCAGGCACCGAAATGGTGAAAATATCACTGCATTTCCATGCTGCCAACATTAGGCAGATCTCCATTCCTCAGTCTAACCTTAGAGTTCGTAATAAGGTAACATCTTCCCCAAGTGAATGCTTATTATGGAAGCTAATTAATTGCTTTCCAGTAATGAGAAGTCTTTGGTGTTCAAAGAAAGCAGAATTCACTACGCAGAAACTAAATACTGTTTATTGAAACAAAGCTGTAAAACAAAGCTCCCCCCCATTTAAAGACGTGTTTCCCATTAACAGTAACAAACAAAACCAAAGAAACTGCGTACACAACATAAGAAATATGTATAGGTAGGGAGCGTGAGCTATCAGCAGCCAAGAACACAATATTAATTGAAGTGAAAACTAAAGCAATGCTTTGTAGTTGCCTAGATTTCCCTGGGGGATGGAGAGTCAATGCTTATCAGCCTTCCTCAGAAGAGACAATTTTGATTAATATCAGACCCATCTGACTCAGTCTATTAAGCCCTGAAGGAAGGATATTCTTCAGATATAAGAGATACGTCTTTGATTAATAATTCTACCATATTGCCATTCCAAGCATTAACAACTGCATGGCACCTGTGGAAAGAGAAAGCCTTTGAATTCCAGGGAAGAGGACTGCCTCGTGCTAACAGACCTGTTCTCCATGGTCCACATCAGAAAGCTGCACGACACTCTCCCTCCTACCCTGTGCAGAGCAAGTCAAAGTGCCAAGGCTGTCACAAGCGTCTTGCATGTAAAACATACTGGTTATGTAATCTGGCTTTAAATCTATGAAGAAGAAAAAGTTACTTCAGACATGCGTTGGCCTTGTCTAAAGGTGATGAAATCTTAACAGGTCAGTATGCCTATAGGAGCCACTGCCGTTGTCTAGACACTCGTCTTCGGCTCCATCATACTTTAACAGTCAACGCTGGCATGGCCATTTGTTGCAGTTATACTAGTAGCATAACTGCACGAGAGAACCCATGAAATCATTTAGCCCACTAGATAGACTCCCATGCACTGTGTAACTAATGCCAAACTGCCACATAAATTGATTTTTTAAATCACCCCAAGTCCAGCTCTTTAGTTATTCTGTGAATGTTCTAGCTCCAGCTCGATCACCACCATCCTTCCTTCTCTCATCCTTGCTGCGCGTTTTTTCTGATGCTCGCAATCAACCTCTTGCAGTGTTCTTTGTAGCTCACAGGCTTCACATCTACCGCGGTAGCCTTAATCCGGGACTCGTCCTTTGAAAGAGAAAAGTGGTACGTAAGAGGAGAGGGGGGTTCTGCGCCTGAGGCCCTTTGTTCTAGGCTCTCCTTGTTCAATGTAGCTTCATTACCCTTGACAGAGTCAATTCAAGCATGAAGTTCTGGCTCCCAGACTTTAATTCACACAAAAATAAAGCAACAAGCTAGATTTTGTGCATCACAGAAAGAAGTAGTGTCACAAAGTGACTCTGATCCTTCTTTCCTTCCACACTCCTGTACTCAGGACGAATAGTGCTGAATGTTAGTGGAAACCTCTGGAGGCTAATCTTTCCCCACAAATAACGTAAAAGGAGGAAGCCATTTCCTATGCAGACTGATCTAGATGTTGCAAGCTACACGCCCCGTCTGCCTGGTGGGAGTACTTACATTGAAAGTCTCCAGCTTCACTCGAATCTTGAACTCAAATGTGTTGAAGAGGGCATTTTGGATCACTTCATCAAATGCCTGCTCATTCTGTGAGGATAAAGACAAAGGCATGAGCTGATGGCACTGCAAGTTTCCAGCTTCACCATCCCCTCTCAGAATAACTCGGGTTTTGTAGAGCTTGAGGTAAAACTGAAACGGACTAGGTGAGTCAATGGAAAAATAAAAGTTCAGTACAGTATTTGGAGTGTTGGAGGACTAGTCTTCCAGCAGATTGGTTTGGGCTCCAAAACCATTGCTGAACTTTAATTGTTAAAATATGAAGTTTCTAGTCCAAAAGGAGAGAACTCTGGGGTGCCCACATGACACAAAACACAGCTGTCCTTGGTTTGCCTGAACCAATATGAAGTTCCCTTGGAGCTTCTTACCTGGGGTTAGATGTGATGCTGAATTACAGTGACTGAAGTGCAACGGCTCACCAGCCATTTCACTACTCAGTCTGAGACACATTCAGTTTCTGTGTTTATCTAACGAGTCTGCATTCAGCCTGCACATCTCCGCATTTTAGGACGTTTGAAAGGGCACTGCACAAGCGGTGCATATTCTGCATCATTCAAAGACTGTTAAAATGACAAGACAAAGCACCCAACAGCAACAACAACAACAAAGTACAGAGATTTCTTTAAATCCCATAGCCCCTGTGTGACACAGGTAAATAGATATGAATGTCTTCATTAAGCAGAAAGCATGCAATTATCAGACCCAGGAGCTGAACCTAGACCTTGCAGCTTGTAGGTCAAGGTCTTGCCCGTTCCCTCAAACTGCTCCTGCGGCACGCGTTCCCTATCTCTGTCTCGGTTCTTCAGGAAGCACTACTGCACACCTGCACGGCTCCTTCCACGTCACTCTCAGAAAGGTAACATAGGTGGCAAGCAGGAGCCCAGGTCTACAGGCTGCGTACTTCGGCACATCCATTCCTCAAGTGATTCTTTTCCTAACTGTCCCCAGGGCCTAAAGGATGAGATGCTACTCTCACCACACTCAAGACCTAGACTGCACTTCCAGCTTAATCAGTAGGACAATAGGGAATGCTGCCATTACTGGACCAGTCGCCTCTTAGACAGGGCCCTGCGGTTCCCCAAAAGCTTCGGCAATGAGGCCTGGACACAGCAGATCAGATGAAAGAGCCTGCTCACATAAGTGCAGAATGGCCTTTCCACCAAAATGAACCGAAAGACTTCCATCGACTCCAGAGGGTATCATACCAGGCCTCCAGGGAAACGCTCAGACCAGATAGTATTGCAAGCACACCAAGCAAAATTTTAAAGGCCCATAAAACTGTCAATTCAAAACCAGTTTTCTGTGCAACACACAGAGGTATTTCTCCTCCAAGCTACACTTCAGCTTTTTACCCTTAGCCCTTTCCGCTAAACAGCTCTTCAGAAAAAGCACTGCAAGTTGTTTCTTTGGTAATTAATTCACTCCCTGCAATTCTCCTCGGACTCAAAAATGGCCAAAGCAGTCTTGTTCAGACTCAGGCAGAGACTAAACACGGCTGAAAAATGAGAGTTAGGATAACTAAAAACAGGGAGTTAAAATGAAAAAAAAAAAACCTATGCAAATTTAATCATGATAATGACCATCAACACACCTCACGGGGAACAGCTGAGTCACTCACTACTCTGCTTCCAAAATAATCAGATAATTTATATAGCTGACAGCTAAAAATATGTTGGCTTTCCTGTACAGCGGGATTTATATCAGAGATGGGGTCCGGCAGGAGCTAATGTAGGTCAGTTTTGAATATACTTGGCTTAATAATGACCTGCCTGGTGTTTCATACTGACACCCAACCATTTCAAGGGGAAGCGAGCTGTGGTAGAAGAGAGGCACAAATAAATGGAAGAATAGGCTGTCTTTTTTACTGAAGTTTAAATGGTTTATAGCCTACCCTAAAATTGTTCTAATCTGATGGGAGACTTCTAAAACGCCTCTCAGCAAACGATCCATTTAAAAAACTATTATTTTTGTAGGGCTCGCAAAAATTCATTCTGCTAAGCAGCGTCAGTATAATTGGCCATGGAAATGATCCAATGCTAAGGCGAACAACCAATCTGAAAGCAATGTTTCTGGCTTAGTTACAACCTAGGTTATTTAGTCAGCTTTGTTTTAAACAAGCTTTTAAGAACACACTTGACATTTCTTCGTACCGAGAAACATGAACAAAACTCTTCAAGACTTAGTTGGGTGCAACAACATAAATCCAGCCGCTCCTTTTACGGCACTCCGAGAATGTCATGGCTTTTGACTGTTCAAGGACAGCTGGACACCAGTGCCTCCTGCAACTAATCAGCAGCCTCCCAGCTAAGGCTGTGAAGCCAGGGCTCACTAAGCAGCTGCAATATCTGCCGGTCCTCATAACAGCAAGGAAAAGCTCAGCTGTTAGAGATCGCAGGTAGACTCCCGGTCAGGGAAAAGAATGCAGTTTACAGACAATGCGCAGACAGAGAATAATCCTGCAGGGGACAGACGACGAGAGCAGAGAACCCTGCCCTGACTCCTGGGCCGGCGCAATCCACCCCTATAGAAGCCAGCAGGTCAGGGAGAGGAGACACGATTGACATGAACTTATGTTGTTTTGAAGAACAAGCTAAGCACCTAAAGAGACTCAACTCCTCAGGCTGGACAGCTTTCACCGGTACACCCTACCAGCTCGGCAAGGGTAAAAAAAATGTCAAATTCCTGCAAACAGGTCTGAAGTTTCTTGGATACACCTTGCACATTCATTTTAACAAAGGAAGCGCTGCCCTCAACAGGGGCTGTATGCACAGTAGTAAATGCCGCTGCAAATCTCCACTGTCATTAGCGGTACTTTGTGTGCATGTTACAGGATTAGGGCTAAATGATTCAAAAACCCACAGAGAATCACAGGGTTGGAAGGGACCTCAAGGAGCATCTCAATCCAACTCTTTTCCTAAACCAGCCCAGACAAATGCTCGTTCACACACACTTCACACCATCTTTAAAGTTACTTGTTACAGAGAAGCCTCCTAAATAGGGGATCAGGAGAGGCAACAGGCCTTCATAAAGTAGCAATGCTTGTTATTATGGCTACCAGGTGGAAACAGAACCTCATATTCTAGACATTTTTTCAAGGAGGAAGCTAATTGACTGACCTTTTCTTTTAGCTCTCCAAGGAAAGCAGTGTTTTGCCCAAGAATGACTTCTGCTGACTCCTGGAAACAAGTCACCCACTGAGTCTCCAGACAGTCTGCAATGATCACCTTAAGAAAAAAAAAGCCACAGACACTTCATCCAGATGCTCTTTATTCATGAAGATTCTCTTTAAAATTGAAGAGCGCTTTAAATTTTCAGTAAGTACATGTACTGCAGCTCCACACACACCGCCTTTTGTGAAGGCTTCTACTCAATGGTGGCTGAAATGCAAAAACCCTTTCATGACTGTAGTGACACAGTAACACACTTCAACAGTAACTTGTGTTCAGTTACAAATCTTGGACCAGGAAGGAGCCACCACGATGATAAAACCAGGTACTCTGTGATTGCATGCTGGGCACGGCTATGAAATACTAATGAAAATGTCACTGCAACAAAGCCTTAATTCAGTGCAGCATGGCAACGAATGAGGTTAACAGCAAGAGGCACCGTACCTTTTTTCATTCTGCTTAAAGAGCAGCAGAGGAGATGACTGACAACAGTGACACTGCGCTCAGGAAGGAAAGGATGCATGTAGGAGCTTAGCATACCTACCTCATCTGGAAACCGAGACCGGATGTAGAGGCAATGGCAAACGTTCAAGATTTTTTGCTTGGGGTGACATGCATGGCACCTTAAGCAGAACACTGTGGGCTTCTCCAACTCAGATGCCCTACATATGCATAAGAATAGACGGTCCAAGTGCTCTGTTTGGTGCTTTACCTGCAATCCACATCACCACCGCATATTCAAAAGTCACTCACGTCCAATTAAGGTGCACTGCGCCTCCCTCTCAAACTACATTTTGCTCTGACACCTGGGCAGGAACAGCATGTGAAAAACTCATACTACCTCAAGAGCCCTGCAACAGCCAAGGACAATACAGGGAGAGGTAAAGATCAAGGACTAGTCTTTTGTGAATCTCTGGCTTCCAACAATAGGGCATTTGAAAACGGGAGACAAGTGGTCTGCAGTTTAGGAGTACCCTTCCCGCGTCCTTCCTGCTCTCCACATAAGAGATTCTAATCCACAGGGTAGCTTGTACATCCCTAGATTTTCAGATGTAATCCCTGTTTGGAAGCACTGTTCATTTAATCCTATGTTAGCCAAAGTAATACTGCAATGATAGTTTTCCCTCCCTAAACAGACCCCCTGCACAGCACTTCTAAAAGCAGAGAAAACCTCTAATTTTCAGGCACTTTATAATGCAAAAGCTGAAAGAAGGTTCAATGCTAGTGGTGCAAGCACACATCATGATAACGATTCTCAGACACAGTACGCTGAAGTAGGCTCCATTAATGCATGAGACACAGAACAATACCTACAAAAGAATGAACTAAATATAGGTATCAGCTGTAAGAGTGCAATTACTGCTCTCCAGAAATGCCATTTTACATTAGTTTATCTTCATAACTGAAGAGGCGTGGGCCATCTGTACTTTGCACTGCATGCTACACTTAGAAACCAAAATCAACTGAGTTAGCTTGAAACTTTTTGGCAAAAAGAAAAGCTTAATTGAAGCACAAAGAAACAAACTGCTAATCAGCTCAATGAAACCCTCCTTACACACTTGGTTACAGCCTATATGCTATTTACTGGCTATTTATCTGCAGGGACTACACATCGGAGCACGCTGCTCTGATGCCCCAGTCTCACAAACAAAAGGGTTTGATTCGGTTTGTGCAAGGCATATAGTCGGCAAGCAACAGTATTTCATCTAATCCTTTACTTACAAAGAGGATCATGCGATACTTGAAGTTGGGGAACTCGCGATTACATTTTTCACAGCGGTACAGTCCATTCTGTTGGTCTATCACTTTCTTATTGCAATCTTGAGCTGGGCAAGCCTGGTACATGCAGTTCTCTTTGCGCAGTTGTACCACTGTGGCCACACAGCTAAAATAATCCGCCTGCAAGAAGGAGCATAATATAAAACGCAAACCACTGGGATCGTTTCAATTCTGAATTCTGAACTAATTGGCAAGCATGTAGCCCCCTAGCTGGATTTTGATGACTAATAGGCTTAACAGGTACAGGTCACTGGGACGTGCAACTCAAGTCTTCTGTTGCCACTGCTCTTAGGCTCCATTAAGTTAAATGAAGCCCCTAAGGCAAGAATATTTTTAAATCTTCATTGAACCATGTTCTCAATCACTAGTTGATTAGACTGACTGAGCATATTTGCTTTCCCACCATACCTATTGAAACTGCAGAGCCAAGTGTGCCGTTCATTCTCTCATAAGATCTAATTTTCATCCTCTCATCTTTTTGGGGGACTAACGTTACAAAAGGCAGAGAAAGATCCCTGCATTTGTGTTACAGTGAAACACTTGATCTGACTGCAGCCTGCAGGACAAAACCCACAAGAATGGCCAGGCCAATGGTTCAAGGCCACTACTCTGACAATGGCCAGGACCACGCTTTAGAAGAACAAGGTATTTCAAAATGGACAGTTAGGAAATAACCTGCCTATCATGATGCTGTGACTCAGTATCTTGATTAACCACTATTTAATGTCAATGAGAGCAGACATTCTAGGAGGTTCATTAGATAACCTTCCAACAAACACCGTACCTTGGTAAAACCCAGTTCATTTTCTATGCAGAATACACAGATAGCGTCTACCTCTACTTTACCTTATCTCCTTGCCCTAAGTTCTCAGATTTAGATTCATGCAGAGTTTTCCAAATGGCACTCCCTCCACCTGTTGATCCACCTCTCAGATCAGAGATTGAAGTACATTCCAAAGCCTGCCCTTCGGAGTCAAACCTGGAAAGACACACACATTCCTCTGGTTTTGGGAAGCAGACCGTATGAACTTACCCAAAGCTTATATTTAGTTTTGTGTGCTTAATACAAGAGGGGTTTTTATCAATGACTTCCACAGGAAACAATTACAGTAACTTGTGTATACTGCACACTAAAATAGCATTTCAGGATAAGTTAATATTCTGTTTTAATTAGCACAGTATTTTATAACCTTAGAAAGGGGGACAAATTCTGCTTTTCGTGACCACAACGGGTGTGCCATCTAGCGGCCAAATGAGGCACTACATTCCTCTTAGAAGCAGCCAGATAACAAGGTTTAAGGGCAACAGCACACTTGTATAATTAGAATTTAATTACATGATACCATTATTTTTGCTGCAGCTTTGAAAGAAAAGGGAAGATCGAGTTTAACCAATCATATTTCCTGTGTTAAAATAAGGATTTGTCCATCAGTGAGGCTGGTGCCACCAACCCTGCCCAGACGCTTTGCGATTTCAGTGGAGGAGCACATCTTTTGCAGCAGAAAGCTCATTTCAGCCATTTCAACCCTTCCACAGATCACTATCCATGAACAAATAGCCCACTTGTGAATGCAAATGTAATTATCTTCCTGAAATACGCTGTTAAATGGGCTGCCGAGTGCACGTGTGTACGGCTAAGCCTGAGAACCAAAAGCATGCAGAGCAAAGGCAAGGGCCCCGTAGGACGATTAGTCTTGATCCATGTACATTTTGTATGATGTTGAGGGATACCCATGAGGAGGACTCATGGAAGAAAGGACTCCAGCTTGGCAACTGTCAAAACAGAACTAGGATTTGCCGAGGGAGGATAAAAAGCACATGCACTCTTCTAATGAAATCTGGTTTCAATGTCAACAGCTCTCAAGGCCCCAAGCTTGTCTCCTAACCCCTTTCTGACTGTGCCCCGTGGTGAATGAAAGGCTGAATTATGACCCTGTCTGGTCCCCACTCCCAGATCAGAAAAGCCTGGGGCCACGTGGCACCCTCCAAGAGCTGAGTGACAAACCACACTGACAGTCTCACCAAGTAGCTCTGCTGACCCATCTTCCAAAGGATAGAAGGTCAGTCATTGTGAACTTGAACAAAACCCTGATACCTTTAAAGACTAAACCAGAAGGTCCCAAAGATCCAAGTGATTACTGACGCCCATCTCTCACTTCACTGAGGATGCAGAGAACCTGGTTTCACAGCGTTTGTTTAGCTTTCCCTAGGGTGGATTTGCAGTTCCTTGGGGAAGCTATGCACGCTCCTCCCTCTTGCCTACACTGTATTCATATGGAAAACGCCTTCAGTTGGATCAAGGTTTGTGCGTGTGAAATCATCAATGGAATTCTACCTCAACTGCTGCTTGAGAATAAGTCTAACTGTCACAAAGGTCTTAATTATAACCTGGATTAACTTGCTGAACAGTAGCTAAAAGCAGCCTGAAACGCCATAACCAACAGAATTCCTCCCCATGTTAGGTACCCAGTTCATTCTGTATTATGTTGCAGTCTGCAGCTTTGTCTTTGTAACTTAATCCCAAATTCCTAGGAGAGTTAAACTCTCGTCCTCATCTTTTAGACTACACACATCTGCTCTTATCTTTGATCTCAAACACAAACACAGGACCAGAAGAAATCTCTCCCCACTCATCTTCCACCACACTCCTTCAGTTTCTTCCACAAGGCACCCTATACCAGGCCCTCCCCACCCCATCCAGGTCTCTTTTCAGACTGCACCTATTTTGCAGAGACCAAGCCTACACGTAGAAAAACAAACACAAATGTTATAAGGAGCCCAGTGTGTATATGAAACCCATAATCACTCACGATTTTGTATCCTCAAAACCTAGGAGGTACAGAACAACTATACCCATCTAACAGATCGAGAGCACAGGCACAACTGCATTTCTGGATACGACTTGCCAAAGTTACAGAACAACCTGACTGCAGCAGGACTGAATTCAGGACTCGAGTCCTAGTTCAGTGCCTTATCCACTAGACCGTCCTTCTCCCTTGGGAGTGCTGTACCTTACTGGAAGGACCTGGAACCTAGCAGCACTAACAGACACCTCTGGAATCATACTATTTTGCTGATAAAATGTTCTTTTGCTACTAAATCATAAAGATTACCTGAGAAAGGAACAAGGGAGACACTGATACTTCAAGAAAGCTTTAAAAACCAGAAAACAATACCCCCAACCCACACTAACTGAATCCATAAGACCTTGCACAACGCATAAAGTCTATGGGAAAAAAAAAAATGTTCTCAGCTAAAACCCACAGAAGCAGAGTTGCTAAAAGTCTGATTTCATGCTGCCTTCCAAGGATCTGGGTCAGCACACACTGCTGCCACTCTTAATTGCTTCTACTCCAATTCTTCAAGGTTTGTCATGGGATTACAGGTTTGTCAGTTTAACAACTTTAAAACCAACCTCTCAGGACATGATGCCTCGAAGAGAAATAAAAATGCTTTTTCCTAGCCTCCAACCTTCTCTCTTCCTCTAACGCTCTGTAGACTGTGCTTATGTAGGTTACAGGGGTAAAGGAAGTGAGAACAGTCAGAGTAAAGCAACACAAGCTCATGGCCGTACCATCCTCGGAGTTTGAACGCCTCTGGACTATCCGGGTTCATCACAAGCGTGCTTGAGCTCAGGACAGAGAGACTCCGGCCACCAAAATCAGAGACTCTGGCTCCTCTGATCGCTATGACAGGTTGTCTAGAACCATCAAATCGTTCAGCCTGTGAAGAGACAGAAAATATTAGTGGCATACTATGCAGTGGGTCGGTCCTGTGCCCATAATTCATAGATTGTGACAAAAAGACCAAAATTGCATCAGACTGCCTGGCTGTACTTAGCAGGTGCTATCTCTAAGGTATGTCAGTACGCCCTTGAAAGACAGTTATTAAATCACTGTTAAAAGGTTTTTAAGACATCATTCTCTCATCTAACGGAGAGTGCCGGAGTCCTCAAATCCTACCATGTTTACAGTTAACTGGAGAAGTAGTTCAGAAAGGGGGCGACTTCCGTCGAGAACAAAGGGCTTGAAAATGAATTTGTGGGAGACCTCTCCAGGCGGCATCAACACATCAACTGGAGAACTTCGGCAGTCAGAGAGAATGCTGCTTTCAGGAGACACAACCGTCTCACTTATTTTATTCTCTAAGCTGAGAGTGCCTTATGCAGTTTTGTTTATGAAAAGCAAATTTATAACCAACATGTTTTTGTCTTCTTTTAAAAAAAAAAAAAAATTGTTTCTATAAAATTCCAGGCTTCTGGGCATTTTCATGTAGATATTCCCAAGGAAGAAAGACAGCCATGACCTCTCAAGAGAGGTTTGAAAGGCAAATAGTTTCTGAATAGCCGTTAGATACAGGGTTTTATTCCCAGCAAGTTGTGCTGTCATTAGGCTGCAGCAAGCAAAGACAAAGGAAAATGCCAAAAAGATTAAGAAAGAACATGGGCTGCCAGTGGTGCTGGTAGCCCACATGGCCCAGCAAAAACATGGCAATGTGGTCTAGCAATTACGGCACCAACACCTGGATTCCCATCTTGCTTCTCCCAATAACCAGCTGTGTGAGCCTGGGAAAGTCACTTCCCCTCCGGGCCTCAGTTTCCCCATCTGTAAAACTGAGAGACTGTTTGTGAAACGTGGAAATCCACCTGCAAAATGCAGCAGGCGGGAGCAAGGTAGCAGAGCCCTCCCCTACTCAGCGGGGAAGACTGAAGAACATGGCCAAGATTAAACACAGCAAAGGCCGGTGTTTATGTTCAGGAAGTCTGCAGAGAGAATACATCACCATGATCTTGCCTTGTGGCAGCAAACCAGTAATTCGCTACCCAAACACTCTTCCCTGTAGCTTGCTCATCTTCTTATTTGGGGTAATGAGCTTCAAACTGCAGTACTGATACCTGCAAAGGGTTAATTTAGCTCTCTATCACACTTTCCATTAGAGAGTTTCACAATTTGGTGAACACTTTAGTTGCACAGCTTCTCTCCCCATTTTGCCACCTCCACCAAACACTGGCTCGGGGCAGGGCTCCAAGGAACCTGCCCTACAGATGAAGGTTGTCCCTGCTGGGCAGCTTTAGCCATTAGACTCTACGAATCAAACAGCAACTCTTAACGCAAAGCTGATGATGCTTCCTGAATCAGAAAGCTGTTTATCACCAACCTCTGCATGTGAGAGGCAGTGAATAGCATTGCTCAGAACACACCAGACCAGCCACTGATAAACACAGTTATTTGGAGAAATATATATATTTAAAAACAAACAAACCAACAACTCATCTGGCTGAAGCCAAATAAGTCTCTTGCACCTCCCTAAATACTCATGAGCTGCACTTCCTTGCCACCTGCCTCAATGACATCATATATCCATTCCTCTTTCAATATAACTGAAGGCTGAAAACGGATAACAAAGCATATACCTCATCTCCCCATAGAGTTGTCGTCACCATCTTTCCAGATGCATCTATCAAATGCACGTTCCTCTTAGACACCTCCCTATTGGTAGATTTCACTGTAATTTTAGTGATATCATCATAGCTCTTACAGATTCCAATTACATCTGAAAAGTAGACATAATTCAGTTAGGACTGCTTGAAGGTCACAGCAGGGGAAGATGAGCAGACTGCAAAGGAATACTCACACAGTGTCAGATGATATCCTACAAGATCCTAAATCCTTATTTAAAAAAAAAAATCTTAAATCTAAAATACAGGAACTATGCATATTAAAGTGAAACGGTTCTTAGGGAAGAAATAGATTTTGATTTTTATTCTGTTGATGAATTTTGCATTCATGCAAAAGTGTCACAAAAATTAAATCGATCAAGGTACTGTGCAATCTTCTCCTATTACACTTTGTGGAAACCCTTCATCTTGACCCTCCGGCACCACGTACTGTTCCAGTAGAAGTTTCTCAAGCAAGGGATTACAAATTGCTTATAACAAAGATAGGCATCTGCTAGGAACAATGATGAGGGCAAAGACTGGCTTGCGATTCAAATTCACTTGAGAGGTGAGAGGCCGGTATACTCCTATCTGTGTACTGCACCGACTGCTAACAAACCTATTGTTAAAGCTCCTAATCAAACACTTCTGAATCAACAGATTTCTCTCACATGCACACAAGTAATAATTTCTGCCCCATCGGTTTTCCGTGTCATTTTTTCTAGTGCGATCTTCCCAAGTTAGAGGAAAAACTTCAGAGCTCCCAGCAAAGCAAACTAAAACTTATATCCAAATGCCAGGATTTATGCCACAATCATTGCAGAGATAATTAGATGAGAAAGGTATGCATGCAGAATGAAAAAACAGCGTTCCTCTGTGCCTTGCTTGGAAAACTGATGATTGCAAAGCATGTACCTTCTTTCACTCTCTTTAATTTACAGTGCAAGTTGGCAGATAATACAGTGCATGCTGTTCACACAAAAGGACCCAAACTCCCTAGTGGAGAAGCTACCAGAGGCATTCCTAAGGGCACCACCACTGAAGCAACATCTCAATCACATTGCGCTATGGATTATCCGTCTCCTGCCCAGGTTCTTGGTGCTACAAGACCTATTTTAAGCCCCATCTTACCATATAGACTCACCTACAATTGAGTCTTTGCTCGTGTTCTCTAACTCAGAGATTGGTACAAAATCGAACTGAACAGAGGGAAGATGTTGGGAATCCTCACAGGGCAAAACTGAAGTCTCACTATTGAATGTAATCTCATAGTCATTCTTCACAGCTGAAAACTGCTTGTTAGCAGTCTTCAAAGTTCCTTTGGTGAAGAAATACACCTGCAGGAGGAAGCAATGAAATAGAAGAGACACTTGCTATTAGACACTGCACATGGCTAACATTTGCCACTAAACATCCAGGGGTACTGCATAAACCCCTCTTTACTAGCTCATATCTGACTGAGAATGAATAATGCTGTACCTTGTTCAATTCAATGATGGAAAAGAACTTGTCCACTTGATCATTGAATGCAGTAGCTCGAATCTCACCCTGAAAGAAAATGTGAGAGCTGGTCAGAAATGAAATTCAGCATGCACATCTTTCCAATGCAGAACGGCACCATTCCTATAGCTGTGGAATATTCTGCAGGGCTAGCTCTAGGCACACAAGAAACAAACACCAAAGTTCATACATTTGTAGGTAGAGCTAGGATGACAACCCCTATGGTTGACCAGCAAATCTCATCTCCAAGTCCTGTTAAACCCCATAAAACTCCTGAATATGGTTCAGTAATTAATACAGTATATCATACTGTAACACAGAAACAACTCCATACAGATGCAATCAAAGCCTGCAGCATCATGCTACAGATTAGGCAATATTTTTAGATATGTCATTTACCTCCACAAGTTAGAGGATGACATCACACATGAACAAAGTCATAGTTGTGACAAGCCCTTCCCCAAGTGATAATTAATGACAGAGCTGGATTTCTACTAGATAAGATGTTTGTGTAATAGAAATATAAAAAATTAAAATAACAACTACCAGTCAAAATATGACAGCATGCAGAAAAGTGAAAGAAATGGCTGAGGATCAAGGTGTCAGAGAAATTACGAACCACACATTTGGTACTAAAAATAATTTCACATACACAAACAAGATTTTATGCAATGGGGGGCTATAAATTTAATCAAGAGGTCTGGATGACAGATTAACTAGATCTTGTTCCCCTAAATACACCAGAGATGGAATTTCCTTGTCATTCGTTCATATACATGCCAATTTCCTAATTAAGATGAGTTTATTTGAAGTGAGTATCTCCTTTGGACATCACACGGGTTATAAAACAGCACTAGGATTTGCCTGCCAATCCAAGGGAGAGCACTGCAAAGCAGACATTACATTGTCTATTGATGGAGACACCAGATGCTGGCACTGTAGTCATCTTTGCCACATACCAATATAGGACAGTGCTGATAAAAGGTCACTTAAATGCCATGTTTATCACTCATTTTATATTAAATGAGCTAGATGGAAAAAGCAATGTATTTTACAGCTATGAGTGAATGAATGTGGGGCTGCAAGATACATTTACATCTTGTAAAATACCCTTTTCATGTAAAAGATCTTCTGCTCATTTCCTCTGTTCTCTGTCTTCACAAAAACATGAACTTTCTGCTCCCATCACTGCAGTACTTTGAGCCTATCATAACAGATCAGCACTCACACTTTGATCAACTAGCTCTATGGAGAACAGCTTTCCTTCACCACGGGAATTGCTCCAGGTGCGGATCTGGCTTTTTTGGGTGACTCGAGCACATATGGTCCACCTGGAAACACAACAGTAAGAAACAGTGTCCTACATCGTTTTTCAGAAGAGGCTGTTAGCTCAGAAACTAGAGACTTTAACACCTAAATGTAAAACCTCAGTTTCCATTGTACCTCAGTGATTCTTTAAAAGGGCGTCTAGTCTGGCTCACGGAGACAGAATGCAGTTCTACAGAAGCAACAAGAGTTAAGAAAACAAGGCCCGTCGGTAAGCCATACAGAATGATAAAGCACTGAATGATTCTCCTGCTTTAGAAACAAGCTTTTAATATTTCATTCTTCTCAGAAGTATTCCCAATATAGCAGTCTGTCCTTAGTGAAAGGCCACGCTCAAACTCAAGAGCCCAATTTTAAGGTTCGTATTGTATCAGCTGTTAAGAACCAGCACATCAACTCATATAATTTAAGCTTCTGCCATTTCCAAAATGCTTTTAGACAGGACAGCATTTCTGCCGTAACCAAGGGTGAAGGAGTTTATGGTAAAGCAGGTCAGTGGACTACCGAAAGGAAGCTTATAGTTAAACTTGTCAGCCGATTTTAAACCAATATACAAAGACCTCAATTTCAGCAGGGCCAGAAGACTTGGGAATCATTTTACACGAGACAGTCCAGAGTCTAAGCACAGATCACCAAAAAACAAAGGAACAACGGGTAAGTACAAAATAACCCAGCACTGCTGCTTCTGAGAGTTGCTGATACCAAGTGAATAATATTTAAGGAAGAATTATTTGACATATTTAACGCAGTTATTTTGGTAAGCAGAAATGCAACTTTAGGCCTTGTACTTAATGCCTACAGTATTTTTTTAACGTAACTGATATAGAGGGTAACTCACTTGGATTGGTATGGGTTCAGACTGGCAATTGGTACCACCTTGGACTGTGATCCACCAGGCGTATTAAATAAGCTGGTACCAGCTGATTTACCAGACTCCTTTGAAGGTCCATAGTACTTAACAGTAGGAGCTAGAAAGGAAGACAAAATTCAGTTATGTTAACTCAGACAAAAATATGCGACTGTCCACCTTTGCAGTCTACGTATAAAGAATAAGAGTAGAATACTGCCATGTGGTGGTGCCAAGCTTAGTACCACTATTAAACTGCAGCAGAAGTTCTCACTAGGCTACAGGAAGATGCCCACAAATAGAAGCTTTGCCTAAATCTGTGTGGGCATTTTACTGCGGTATGTAGGCAGCAAATAAGAACATTAAAATTAATTCACTGCTCTAGAGCATTTCTACCATGTCACAAACAGCATCTGGTTTGTTACTGCAAACCATGCCAAAAGAGGAATGCTCAACTCTTTTATGGCTTTTACATCACAAGTGGACTAAGAATTGCAGCTATGGAGAAGGTGATCAGTTAAAGACATCGGCTAAGCATCCACTGATTAATCAGCAGTGACAAATCAGCACCACTCAGATCTGGCAAGTGTAACTTCAGCCCTGTACATCCTCAGAGAACCACCAAGGAACAATGTCTCTTAACCAAATATGCTACTTTTCTGATTTTAGGTACAGCCACTAAATCTATCTATATCTATATATATACACACACACACACACAAATAAATAAAAAATCTGTCACACTCAAAACCAAATTTACTTTAAAATTCTCTCATTTCAGCATCTCTCAAATATTTAAGTCGAGCTCAAGACAGGTCCAAGTCTTATTCAAAGCACAAACTCTGACTGAAAGAGGTTTTTTTGTTTTAAAAATAAGTCTGCAGCTAGGCAGACAACTGAGCTGCCAATGTCAGCCCAGCATAATTTAAAACCTTCACCAGAAACTGGTATTTATAGAATCTCAACTAAATCTCAGTCCTGTAATATATGTTCGGCCTCAATAACTCAGCACTGATAACACACCCTTTTAGTCAGGTTGGAACCACAGCTTGTTTAGTTGTCTAGAGGGCATCATGGGGTTTCAAGTAATGATAAGGCATCACACAGGATGGATGTGCAACTTGTACAACTTCCAAATGAGGTCCAGACTTTTTACTATGTTTTTTCCCCTGACATTTTAAGATGCTCTCCACATTTTTCTCTGAAAAGAAGTTCTTTTGAAAAAAGATGTAATCTTTTGCTGCAAAAACTGAGATTCCAAAGATTTCTGTTCAGCATTTCTCTCATAAATGAGTGAGTGGGAAGTCATTATTTCTTTGTTGCTAAATATTCTTCCATCTTCTAGTTTACAGCTTTGTCTCCTTTCCTTGGTATTTCTGAAGTGCTGTCCTGAAGCTGCCTCTACTCCTTGCTAAATGGGATTATCTAACTGGTTTTATTCTTAGTTGTAGACAAGTCAGACAACTCAATTCGACACTGCTAGCCAATAATTAAAATACAGAAGTGCCTTACCTCCTGCTGCTGAGCTCCCATTCTGCTGCTGTGGTTTGCTGGGTGCTGTGTTGGCTGCTGAAGCTGAGGAACGCTGCTGCTGCTGCTGCCCCTGACCTGGTATTAAGAGGGGGAAATACCACTTAGTGCAAGAAACTTGAGATCAAAGCAATTAAAACTACCTTCACATACCTTTATGAGATCTCATTTTGTTGTCATAGGAGCACAACAGCACACAACATTCATTATCCTTTAAGCGCATCACAAGACTTGACAACAGTGAACCACCCTGACAAGGGACACAGCATGTAGGAAACTAGAAGAGGTCTCCAAAGAGCAATAGCTTCTGTTATTATTTTAGAAAAGCGATTCTCTGCCAGGGTTCTGCGGTACCCTGGGATGCCGTGAGATCCTTTTAAAGCGCCATGGGATTGCCTAACAATAAGAGCACTGTCAAGTTTGCAAACACCTACACACGATTCACAAATTAAAACCAGAGATTTCAAACAGGAGTCCATAGCGTCAAAAACATTCTGATCTGTTGTGGTCTTTCTGGTTTGTTTTCAACAGCACTGCCCTATTGTTTTTCTACAGTCAAAAAAAATACAAGTAAAAGCTGAAAGCTGACATTTTTATGGGATGTTTTAAGTCTGAAAAGGTTGAGAACCACTGTTTAATGTTTCTACATACCTCTCCTTCTCTCAAAAGGAGTTTGTGCCATTCCATAACAGATCACGTGCAATCTCATACAAAACTCCCTCTTAAAACATAAAGAAAAAGCCAAAAAAAGTACTGGATGAAGATCAACACTGGCCATAAAGAAACCCATGATATCTGGCTTTTAATATACCATGTATAGAGGCATTTAATTAGGGAAGTTGGCCAATATATCTGAGAATTCACTGCATTTCAGCTGCATGAAATCCCAGGCAACCTCAGGCACAAAAGTGGAATGTATAAGAAACAAGAAGCAGGAAACGATGTGTGCACAGAGCCGCTGGCAGAGGGGAGGATAGAAACATAGCATCCTAGAAACAGCAGGGTAGGAGGAGGGCACACAAGAAACTTGTTGGGAGGAACAGAGAAAAGCAAGCAGCCCTCGGGGCATGCAATACACACAGCCTGTGGAAACAAAGCATCATCCTACCCCTAGTTTATTTTTAATCCCAACAAGACTTACATAAAGGAAAACTCCTTGGCTAAGTGGTTACCACAGTATAGTCACAATGGTGAGCTGGTGACAGTTGTTTCCCTGGCAATAGACTGACGTCAAAATAGACCATGTATTTGCTCCAAGATCCACTAGATGGAGAAGCTGGGCTTCACCCTTTACACCCAAAGTTTAGTTGCGTCAAATGCTCAAATTTCCAAATGAAAAACATGCTCAGTCGTTGTCCTTATTCAGGGACCCAAACTCTTTCTGCATAGGAGACGCACAGGCAATCTAGACTCCTAGGCCTATGAAATAGGAAAGCATGCTAGAAAAGAAAAAGACCTAAGGAATCTAAGATTACAAAGGATTAGGTAAATATCACAAAGCTTTTCTTACTACTTCTGCCTTTCTAATCTCTCACTAGCATTTTCACAGGAAAAACAGGCATATGTAGCTTTCAAAACTAAATGTAGAAAGCTGTGAAATGACCCGCTGTCTCTAAGCAACAACATAACGACAACACCAATACAGACAACCGCTCACAAGAAACACATATCACGTCACACAGGCAATTGGGAACACGTCAGCCGCGCACACAAGTCTGCTCAGTAAACACTGGTCGCTACAGCGATGCTACAATTCAGCAACATCTGAAAGCTTTTGAAGTAGTGATTAACTTCATAACTGTCTAAAGGCAATTAGATTGTTTAACTCGTGTTCATGGGATACACGCTTCTTCCCCAAAATAAACAGAAATAGAGACGAACGCTCTGCCTGGCACAAAGTGGGATTTTACACCAACTAGTAAAATAGTTTTCTAGTCAGTGCAGCAGCTTACTTGTCAATATGGGGTTTTTCAGTCCTACTACACAGTGGTAGGCAAGTGTTACTCCTACAAACTACCAGGCAGGACAGTAACAATGGAAACAGAGTACGTACATCATTACCCTCTATTCTCTAAAAGGGACCATTCCTCCCATGACACTGTGCCACTCTCAAATTTCAACCTTTTATCTTCATAAATGTCAAAGACATCTGTTCAAAGAATATTCAGGCTTGTGTTTAAAATAACACACAATGTACTTCTCTCTACCCAATTTTCTTCTTTAATAACTGAATTTTTTTGTCTCAACTTTCAAAAACCCCCAAAGGGAAAGCATACAAGCTGGAAAAAATATCCCACCTGCATGCTGCAGAGATCAAAACAAAAGATTAAAATGGAATCACGTAGGCAAAATTGTATCAGGATTCTATATCCTCCCCTCCCCCTTATGATAATTAGCTGTTTCTTATTAATGGAGTAGTAACATCATGAAAATTCAAGACTTCCCCATACTCGATAGAGACAGAAACTGACTGTTTGGCCTTGGGTTTGTATATTAGAGAGAGACACTATACAAAAGTTCCACGCACAGAAGAGACATTAAGGAACTGGAAATCACAGCTCTAGACAAGACAGTTAGAGCCATGCGACTTAGGCATACAGTAGCAGTATGTCTGAAAAGACCAGAGGTTTGCCTGCTCAGATGACACCAGGCCTCCCTTAATTTGGGGATGGTTTAGACAGCGACGATCCTCTTCGGAGGAGTGAGTGGACTAGATGACCAGCCCTGTTTTTCTATCACTTGAAATTTGACTCCCCTTTTTCACTAAAGTACACAGCTGAAAGACCAGCACAGCAGTAAGTCTCTGAAACAACAAAATGCCTTTGTTTGCTAAGTTACCTACCTTCATTGTATGGCACTGGATCACCAATATTTCCACGAACCACATCAGCAGTTTGCAGAACATCTAACTCCATCAATATAACCACTCTCCTAAAAACAGAACAGATGGCAAGATACTCTACGGTTATCTGTCTTTGTCTGTCACAGGCTGCAAGTTTCTTTTTTGCATATATAAAGGCACTACAATCAGTATAGAATAGATTCCCCGGGGAAGGTAATGTCAGGAGAAAACAGCTTCATTACCCACCGGTTTACAACATTCAGTAAATGCAAGCAGAAATGGTGTGGGCTGAAACAAAACAACCTGAACAGTGCACATGAAACAGAGATGGGATAACGATTATTGCTATTTGCAAAGCCCTAAAAACGGTACCAGATTCCTTATATACTACCTGTCTCAAAAGTGCACGCTAAATACAACTATGCATGCAGTACAAAAGGCAACTTGAAGGAGAAGAGAAGGGTGGCAGTAAAAGTTACCAAGATTTTGCATGTGCCTGAATTGCAAGTAATTCTGAAGGTTTCGTTACTTTGTCACAGACTGCAATGGGGCATTGGGGGAGAAAGCAGTCCTTTAGGGATGTCAGGGCCAGACAAACTGGTTACAACCAGAACTCTGAATTGCTCCCAGAAAACTATAAGGGAACCAGCGCCTACACTATGAGAACCCGCTGGATACACCTGTCTACTTCCCCCGGAACGAAGCGCTCGAGCTCTTCCCTTTCACCCGCTCGTTCAGCCAATTCTGTGAACACAAATATCGAAACAAACAAAAATACCTTCCGTCTTTCAGGCTGTTAACAATGAATCTGTTCACCTGGCAGACACAGTGGGCAGACAAGCGCTCCTCTTCAACTAGAGAGTTCAGCTGTGTTGCCAACATGAAAGCTGCAAAAAAAGAAAAAAGAAAAGAAAACCCCTCTGAAAGCTGCTAGCAAGTGACAGTCCTAAAATGGCTAATTACAACTTCTCTACTCCGACAAGTGGCACTGAATAGACCTAAGGTGTGCACATTATCACATAAGCCAGCAAAAGTCATTTCCTGGGCATAAGCTGCACGTCAGCCACCCAAAGCTGGAGAACGGACTACAGCGTTCAGGCAGCGATTAACATAATCAGATATGTAACAGAATGGAAAATGATTCAAGCCAGCTGCTAACTCCTCTTGGACCTCAGCGCACATAGAAGACTCTGCTAATGACGGAGCTGCTGCCCACGTTTTGGGTGGTCCGCGACAAGACACCAGAAAAAAATGACCGGCCCCAGAATCGAAAGGGACAGCCCACACCATGCCCGTAACACCCCGGGGCCCGTGCAGGAGCCCGGTGTCGGCTCTGCCGCGGAGGCAGAGGCACGTTCGCCCGCGCGGCGTTGCACTTACAGGAGAGCGTGTTCACCCCGTCGCTCATCAGCACGCGGTAGCGCGGAGGGCCGCTGCCCGTGGCAATAGCACGCGTGTTCTGCAAGGGAAAGACAGGGGTCCTTAGCCTTCGCTCCACGCTACTTGTGACACGCACGGCGAGGTGACACCTCGTCTGAAGACACGAATGGGAGGGGGGCTTTTTTTTGTGTGGCTTTGCCAGCAACTGAAACGCATTCTCACAGGCCAGGCGCAAGGAACTGTGCACAGGACACCTGCTCCCGGCCCAGCTTCCCCCCGCCCGAGGCAT